TTTAGCAAAACCTGTGTTTCCATCATTTGTATACTTTAATTTAGCATTTATGGGCTATGTGTATACTTAATTCCAGGTTGTCTCTGAACTTCCTTTCTAAAACTCATGCTAGTTTCCCTACTTACAACAATCAGAGACTGATGGGTATTACACAACTGTCATAGTTATGAGTATTATGCAACTGTGTTGTTATATGTGAGAAACTAACAAAGCTTAACACACAACAGAAGCATACAAAATTTTCCTCAGATTAAAGATAAATGGTAACAGCAGCAGCTGACTTATTAAAGGGAAGAGATAAGCAAAGGTCAAATTCTAAACGATCTATGTAAGCAAGGAATTTTCTATTATTTGTATTTTATCACCTTATTTTTAGGTAAAAAAGTTTTTTCCTTTGCAAGCTATTTTAGAATTTGTTCCCTAAGCAGCAAAATATGAGAGAAATTTCCCATGCAAATCTCTACATGTTACATTTTCTAACCTTTGTAAAAGCCACACATTTTCACATTTCTCAGTGAAGCAAGAGGACAACCAGAAGAGTGCTCTATTAGTCATTTTGTTTCCTTGTGTTACAATTATTTCTGTCTCACCATAATTTTCCCAATTTTTCTGTCATTCTTATAGCAATACTATAAAATCCCCGTTTATCCAAAACATTGCTATTAAAATCACCTTCCTCACTTGCATGACAATCTCTAATCCTCCACTCATATGTCAACCATACAATACTATTTGGTGGAACTTCTTAATAAACAGAATATGCTAAGTTTTCATGAGAAATAAATTAATTGCCCAAACATGATAATTTCCATGTATTTCCAAAAATACTAAACTGCATATAAAAGGTAGCCACTTATGAATGTCTTCCCTCTATTGATTTTAATTAAGCAAAAAATTAATGAAAACTGTTTACACTGGCTAGTTCTAACAAAGTGCTATGTATAAAACCACAGATCAATGGAACGAAATTGAACTCAGCTTGAAAGAAAATGAGAAGAATCAATATATGAAGCAAAACATAAATAAACGCCAAAAGCATTTATCCTAGATAGTATTGCATGTCTCTAGTTCAATCCTAAAGTAAGAAATTCCTATCATGACAATTAAAAATGCTTTTTCTTAATTTGTACTGTCAAATCTGCAGCCTGCTACATTTTAAGAATATTGAAGTCCTTGAACCTCAGATGCAAATTCTCAGCATAGCTTATATTCCCTACTTGGTGGGTTCAGTCTCATCAAAGTGCTAAATAAAGTCTGGTCCTGGTGTGTGAACACACTCATTTTTGTGCCGTGCACGCAGCAACAGGTTAGATTGCACTATCTGTGGAGTGCTGGGAAGGGTCACTACTTCACTAGTCCTTAAGACAAAAGCTCTATCTGATTTTGGAAAATATATATTCCATTTTAACTGTGAGCAAAGAGTTCACTTATTCTCACTTTTTGTTCTCTATCCTCCACCTATGCAAGGCTTTTATTTTTAACCAAAGCAACGTTTCTTTTCCTGAAGAAAACGGAACGCACAAGACAGACACCCTATACGGTCTATATAACTAATCTGGTCTTAAACTGTATGATACAGTCCTACATGAGAAAATGACGTGCCTTGTAAAAGAACAGAACATCGCTTTGCTAAACAGGACCCTGTTCACAAGTTCAATGAAATAAGTGATACTCATATGCTTCCACGGAATGAAGTGTAATTGATAATGAGGAATGTCATGGAATCCAGACACAAACCACATCAGATGCACTTTCCATTATCAAAGAAAAATTCTGGAGCTAGCCTGACGTAGTCCAGTTCATGACATTCTTTTTGAGTTGGTTATTCACTATGCCTTCTCCAAGAGCATAGTGCTGACTCTGCTCCAAGTTCTTATTTCTAACTGCAAATACAAGTTCCTAACAGATTTTGCAGTACTATTTCACATTTGAGTACTTTCTCTAAATATCTTTGATCTGCTCTTTTGAAACACCATTTATGCTTTCTTTACCCAAATAATAAATCATATAACTTGGTTCTTCAGTGAATCAGATAATTTTGTTGATATCCAGCCCTGGTAATCTCAGACAACATTAATAGCATTTGTTCTTGAATGGTAACTATGATTTTTATTTTCCTTTCAAAATGTGATTTTTAGCTATCAGAGAGAGGCTAAAAATTTCAAGGGCTAGCTAAGCCAGTATTTCAATATGCTCTGCAGGAATCACTAAACCACAGTACTAAAAAGTACGAAAGAAGTACTAAAGTACTAATTAAGAGCATGAAACACACACACACAGTGTTCACAGAGGAAAGAAAACAGATCCTTACATTGTAAAGATGTAAGAATCGGTAAATAACAAAAAGTCCCACTAGACCTGTCTTATTTCTTAAATTTGTATTACAACAACATACATGACTATTCTGAGCGTATGTGCTACACAATTAAAAGGAAAGCTTTTTACTAAAGATGTACAGAGGTACGAAGTTTAGATTTTGATTTCCAAGTGCACAAGCATATTTCAGTTGAAGATTTTGTTCTTGATCTGTTGTTCCTTTTAATTGAACAGATATTTTATTTTGATAGTAATTTCTCCTGTCTCGCAGTGTGTACAGTGTGTATTTGGCAAGTGCTGGGAAGTCCTAGTTTTGCTTGTGAATCAGATTCCAATCATATTTTACATTGTTTTAACTAGTAGAATGAGAATTTTACAACTTAAATACCCGACTTCATGTTTTTCCCCTCAAACTTGCAAGTTTCTTATGTTATGTAAGATCTGCAGGTTGCCCACACAACTCCCAGTGAATGGTCTGGTATGGTCTATCAGTTGCTGCAATGCTTGCCGAGGAAATCATGGCATGTTTCATCTGGATTCATCATCTGATACAGTTCAAACTGCTCTATCACAGCATCTTTTTTTGCCTCCAAGGTAGATATAAAAATAGGCTTTCCAAAACTGGTTGAGGAAAAAAAATTCTTAGCAATATTATACCATTATGAAAACTCCTACCAGAATGCTTGGAGCTCTCCTGGGGATCTTCAGTAACCTCATTTCTACAACAGGATTCAAATTGATGTAGGCCTGAATATTCCACTGAAACACTGCATGGCCATATATTTCTGATAAAAAGTCATAGTTTTGAAATATTCTTATGCATTCAACTTATATTTTCCTTTCATTCATTTTCTTTTCTGGGGTAAGGAAGGGAGAAGAGGCTGCCTCTTCTTTTTCCAACAGTTTTTACAAGCTGCTTTTGTGTTAGGAAAAGCTTTTCTTTAAAAAATGTATCCAAAGCAACTGATTTTCCACCCACAGCCTCTTCATCTCTTGCTCCTGATGTCTCCTATTTCTCAAAGACACTTTACTCCCTGTTTTCGCCCTTCCACTTCCTAAACAACAGTGAAAATGGGAGAAAAGTCACACACACAAACTCTCTCCCTTAATCTGCCCCAACTCCATCCACTCCTGATTCTCTTTTCACATCTTCCACAACCACTCAGCTATACTTTAGGGAATCTCCTTCTTTATCCCTTTCCTTTCTCCCTCATGTTTGTGGAAGAATATAGCTAGAACAATTTTTAGGATAATTAACCCCCAAGTACTCTTGTCTAATTTCAATGAAGACTGAAATGAAACACATGTATGTATTTGTTCCAGTCAGATGTATTATGATAAGTATATTTGTTATACAGTCAGACAAAAAAATTGAGCTTTTGTTAATAGAGGAACTTCACATTAAGTTGTATAAATGGAGCAAACAGGAAAAGAGTTTTCTTCCTCTGTAGGGTAAGAACTTGTTCCTTAATAAGGTCAGTGCAGGAAATGATTGAACAAAGAAATGTTTATTATCTATGACTGAAACAAACCTTCATTTAGGAAAGGAAAGGAAGGAATCAGAAGACAATGAAATATCTTCCAAATTCTGGTTATCACCAGGACATTTCTTTGGTAATTATACTGCAGGTCCATAAAAAGTACAGTACCTTTTATCAACAGACGGGCACATCTCCATGTGTAGAGTACCTTCCAGCATCTACCCTATTTTAGCTGAAACATACTTGTTCTTGCTCCCCTTCAGACCATTGTGTTAAATGCCACTGCAGACACCTCTAGTAATTGTTTAGCCGTAATATGGATATAAGTTTCAATTTTAACTTTTGCATAGGTCATCACAGCTAGACTATGCCCAGATTTTCTAGAATATCTCTGTAAAATAGCTCCAGAGAGCTGAAAGAGCTGAAACTTTTCCCTAGGCCCTCATCATGTCACATTTCAATTAATGCAACATCCATTTCTCCAGCCTTAATATGTGAAATATGTTCCTTTACACTTCTTCTGTATATTTCATTTTCAAAACCCAGCATTCCATCTCCTCCTTCTGTGTTTATCGATTGGGTCTCTCTTTTCTACCAGTGTATCAACCATAAGTTATTCATCTTGTCTTAGTTATTGATCATACCTCCCTCATCTGTTACATCTTCAATTCTGAGAAGTCAACTTCTATCTCTAGTAAGTCTAGGACATTGCTCTCCATTTTGTAAATTTTCAAGTCAGCCTGGCTAGGCTTCCTCTCTAGTCAATCAAAATTTGGAGAGGGTCTTTTTGTGAAGTTCATTATTCTTTTACAAATACATCCCTAAAACTCTATTATAATGCCTGAAAAAGTCGCAGCACGATTTGAACATCTGATGTGCCAAGATACTATCGTAACATTAATACCATCAGGCTATTTCACTGAACTTTCCCTTCTGGCTATCCATTTAGTTCTCTTGCATAATATTTTGTTACTAACTTTTTGGGATGGTTCATGTACACATTTTTTGTGTTCCTAAAATAAAAGATCTTTCCACGATCAGAGTTCTAAGTCTTTATCAAACTATGTCAATGTTATATTCTGTATTTTTAAAAATCTCTAGCCAGATTATATTTAAAACACAACTACTGATTCAGGTGTATTTCCTGTCCTTATTTTAATAAATCCATGATTCTTAATTTTTATGGGAAAAGTAATTACTTACTGGTTCAAGACAGGTGTATACGCTGTTTTATCTTCATCTATGATGGTGACCATCAGAGTAATAAGCTGTGCCCAGAAATCCAAATTCTTTGTTGTTGGTCCCTGTTCTTCTTTAGTAACTTCTTGTTTCTTACCCTGTTAAAACAAGATTGAATATATTTTATATTGGAGAAACTAGAGAAAATATGGGATTTCCACCTACAGATTATTACTTGGTTGGAAAGAG